AGAAGAAGAAGAAGAAGAAGAAGAAGAAGAAGAAGAAGAAGAAGAAGAAGAAGAAGAAGAAGAAGAAGAAGAAGAAGAAGAAGAAGAAATGAATGTTGGGTTTAGAAGCTGGTTGGCTCATGCTTCTATGTATCCCCTATCTATGAAGGTCCTGCTCATCACTGAGTGGTGGTACTAGGACTGTATCTCAGGTCAAAGTTCTTCATTCTATGAGGCCCGAGAGGTTATTATCTTTGTTGGTTGGTTCAGGAAAGATCTTCCTAAGGATCCAGAAGAGTTGAGCCAGGGAAAAGAACGAGGAGAATGGGCAGGAGGCAGCAGGGAAGGTTTGTAGAACCTTTCCCTGCTCTTCACACCCCCATCTATGCATGCATTTTCCTGGAGGCGAGGCAAGACCTGCCTCTCCATTGCTGCTGGACCACCCCAGCTGGGACCCCACAGGTACATTTAAGGAGGTCGGCCAGGCTTTAGTCTTAGGGGATTTAGTTTAAGCCTTAGGGGAGTTTGGGAGATGCAGGGTGCTTTCAAAGATCAGGAGCACAGCCTTGTAAGACCCACTTTTATGCCAACCTCATGATCCTCTGTCTAAGGCAGAGATTAGGGAGGTAGTGTGCGGGAGGCAAAATGAATGAGCAGGGGGTAAACGATCATTAGCGGGTCGTCGCACAACTTCTGACTCAGCACCCTTGTCCCAGGTCCCTGAAGCTAGGGTAACAGCGTTTGTAGGCTCTGGTGCTTAATCTCTCCTAGTAGGAGCCTCCCATTCCCACCACACCCAGCGCCCTTGGGGCATCCTACCTGCCGAGCCCAGCGAGATTGTGCATGGTCCGGGTAAGAGTGGTAACTGGAGAGGAGGAAGCCGCGCGCTCCGGAGACCCCAGGAAGCCATCAGACCCCAGCCCGAAGCCTGGGAGGTGGCGCGGCCGCTGGATGCCACCGAGCACGCGGGCAGGACTGAGAGCCGAGCCTGGCGCAGACTTTTGCGGGGGCACCTCCATCGTGGCGGGGCGGGCAAAGGCTAGCTACAGGGCCACAAGCACGGCGGCCAGCAGACGCTGACCCAGCTGGCTCGGCTCCGAGAGTGAGCCTGGGGTGAAGGGAAGAAGGGAGGGAAAGGAGGGAGGAAGAGCAATGGGCCTGGGAGTGAGGAGGAGAGGGATGTGGGGAGGAAGGGAGGGGAGGACGCCGAGCTGGGCAGCTGCCACCTCCACCTCCTTATATATTCGAAAAATAACAGCGGCAGCGCCGCCGGACGCCACCAATGGGGGCGCTGGTTCCGGGAGGGCGGGATCGAGGGCGGAGCTCTCGTGGCTGGGGCTGAGGCTGGACCAGCTAGCTCTGCCCCGCGGGCTTCTTAGGGTGACTCAGGGAGCTGGGTTAACCCACACATACCCTCTGCTCCCTCTGACACGAGAATCCTGCTCTCCAGGATTCTGTCTCCTGGGTCAGGGTACGGAGACACCCCCCCCCCCCGCCCCGAGGGAGTAGCCACCCTCTAGGATGGCCTCGAAAGGACCTTCGACGTTAACCATCACGCACGGTCCCCAGTAAGGGACGGTGCGACGCTCAGCTTGGGCCCTGGGCGTTTGCCAGCTGTGCTGCGAGGTCTGCGTTCCCTGTCCGGTTTACAGATGGGGGCGTCGAGAAGTTCCTTAACTTAAGATCACGGGTTGGGTTGAGTGGCGGGGACAGAGATGCTCCCTCCCGGCTCCTCCAATCCTGCAAGCGTCCCTGTCCGCGCCATTGGGCTGCGCGGACAAGCTGCAGTCGCTCGCAGCAGGCGGCGCTTCGCGCGGTAGAGCAGAACTGCCGGTTTCCGGGGCTCCCAGTTTAGACGTGACCCCACTGGGCCCAATATTCTCCCGTAAACCCTGAGAATTAAACGTTTGGATCTAAGCACGAATTTCTGCAGCAGGCAGTTGGGATAAGTCACCAGAGAACCAGTTGGGGAGGTACCTCACACCCACATACGGCTTGGCTAATTTGGTGTTAATAGCACCATATTTAGTGTTTCTTTGAAGGTGAAAGAGGCTGAATTTGCTATTAATTTACAATGAGCTTCTTCTAATGATCTCATCATCTGTTTTCCTGGAATGAACTGGGAAGGACCTAGTGGGCAGTTGGGAGCTTTTTCAAATTCGTTCTTCCCAGTGAAAGCGTGGCTTCAGAGCTGCTCCCGGGGTGCAGCGAAGGATCTAGGAGCTGAGAGCCGCAGTGCTTACCTGCCTTTGCTGTTTTAACCGCCACCCTAGGCCCAGTAGGTACGGATGGGGAGGAAGAGGTTCAGCTGTGTGTGAAGGAGGCCACTCGCTACACCTGAGAGGAGTGACTGGAGGAGGAACCACCACCTCTCCTTCTCTCATCATTTTGCCCAGCACCCGTGGTGTGTCCCACGCGGCCTTCCATTCCAAAGACCTGGAATAAAGTCTGAAGATTGTGTTTTCAAAACCAACATAGCAGGTTTCTTCTCACCGCCTCCAAGAACACACACACACACACACACACACACACACACACACACTCCCTCTCTCTCTCTCTTCAGGGTTAGGAGGGGCCCTGCTGTGTTGATTTGGAAAATCACTTGAATCTCCTGGACCCCCTCAGCTGGAGGTGCTCCTCGCCCCCATCGAGGGGACCTCACATACCCATTCACGTCCTTCTGAAGCTCATTTTCACACTTAGGTCATGAAACATGTACTCAACAACAAGGACTAAAAGATCCTTAAAGATCAATGAAAAGATTTTCTCTCTTTTGAGATTAAGGAAGGGAGTGCCTCATCAAGTGGACCTGGCTGGCCTGGGGCTTTGGATGTAGAGCAGGCTGGCTTCAAATTCATGTGACCAGCCTGCTCTTGCCTCCTGAGTGATGGGATTACAGGTATGAACCACTACTGCTGGTGGATTAAAAAAAAAAAAAAATCTCGCTCTGCAACCTTCGGAGTAGGACTGTTCCCATGGTATCAACTTTTAGAGATTTTTTTAAAAAATAAAAATAATTGATTACTACTTTATTGTTTTATGTGTATGGGTGTTTTTTCTGTTTGTGCAACATTTGCCTGTTTGGTGCCTGTTGAGGACAGAAGAGGGCATCAGATCCCCTGAAATGGATGGTTGTAAGCTGCCACATAGGTGCTGGGAATCAAACCTGGGTCCTCTGGAAGAGCAGCCAGTTCTATTAACCTCTGAGCCATCTCTCCATCCAGGCCCCTTTTAGAAACATTTATGTTTCCCCTACAGGTCTCCCCACACACACACCTTGTGACATGTTAAATTTATGTGTAACCATAAATTCAGACAAAGGAGAACATTATATAATACAAAGGGCAGCTCCACCCCTAAATCTTCAGAAACAGCATTGGGAGAAGTTTCTTGTATTGTCTCCTGAGGGTGATTCATACATAGCCAAGGGAAACATGATGGCAGGCATGGATACTGGCCACAAACAGAACTAAAAATTTCCTAGTAGCCACATTCAAAAATCAAAAAGGAAGCTGGCCTTAAATTCACAGAGAAGGGGTGAGGAATGAGGATCACTGGCAGCTTGAGGCCTTCCTGGGCTGGAGTGATAGCTTATCTCAAAACAACAACAACAAATGAAACTACCAACAAGAAACAATAAAAAAAAAGGCCTTGTGGTGTGTCTTAGCAATAGGCTATTTGCCCAGCATGTATGAAAGCCTGGCTTCTGGCATCAGTTCATAATACAGGAAAAATATAAATAAACACAGTAGAGACATGTAATTTTAATTTTAGTATTGAATTTAATCCAATATATTAAAAATACTGCGATGGTTAGTTTTTCATCAACTTGACATCATCTGGGAAGGGGAAACTGAACAAGAAGCCTGCCTCCATCTTAGGCTTAAAAGCCATGATATGGTAAAGACAAATTAGTCTTATTCCTGTTTATGATTAAATCTGTTTCTCAAGGACTGGGTTGTGCCCTACCTGTAGCCTTAGCTACAAATGGTTCTGTAATGCCAGAAATGGCAATCACGTCCTCGTTTCACAAAGTCCCTTATAGCCATCTTGCAATCCTACCTTTGCTTCAAAAGGTTCTATGGCCACCTATGACTGTCTTGTTGTGCTCACCTTGCAACCATGTCTTTCTCCACTTATTTTGCCCACCAGATCCTTCACTTGGAAACCCCCTAACCCTGAGCTATAAAAGCCTTGTCTTCCTCACAGCCAATGCTGACCTCTTGAATCCTGCCTAAGGCACAAATCATTTGCTTGCTTTAGTTAGTTTGGCTATGATGGTTTGTGTCGTTGGTCTTTCTCCTCCCATCTTTGGGATTAACAGAGTCTCAACCGAGAACATGCCTCTGTCAGCGTGGCCTGTAGGCAAGTCTGTGGGGTGTTTTCTTGATTAATTATTGATGTGGGAGGGCCCAGCCTACTGTGGATGATGTCACACCTGAGCAGGTGGTCCTGGGTATGTAAAGGAGGTGGAGAGACATCTCATTAGAGACATCTCATTAGCTAAAGAGCACTTGGCGGCTCTTCCAGAAGACCCAGGTTTGATTCCCAACATCCACATGGCAGCTCACAACTGTTTATGGGGTGGGCTTTGAGGACTCAGGAGCCCAAGCCAGGCCCGATGAGTCACTCTCCTGCTGCTGCCTGGAGAACTCTCAGATACTTCCCCTACACCATGTCTGTCTGAATGGTGCTGAACCTCCGAAACTGCAAGCAAGTCTCAATGAAATGCTTTTCTTTATAAGAATTGCTGTGGTGCTGGAGAGATGGCTCAGTGGCTAAGGGCACTGTCTGCTCTTCCAAAGGACCCACACCCACATTGCAGCTCACAGCTGTCTATACCGTCAATTCCAAGGGATCTGACACCTTCACACTAATGCACATAAAATAAAATAAATTTTAAAAAAAGAACTGCTGTGATCATGCTATCTCTTCACAGGAAGAGAACACTAAGATAATACACACAAAACAAGTAAATCTAAGCAAGCAAACAAAAACCAATATTTGTCACTAAGACTGGAGAATAATAAGAGTGAGGGTCCCTTAGGCTATATACAGAGTCTCAAACTCAAAAAACAAAAACATAGCCAGGTGTGGTGTCACTATGACTTTAATTCCCCCACTCAGATCTCTGTGAGCTCATGGCCAGCCTGTCTACACAGAGTTCCAGGCCAGCCTGTCTACACAGAGTTCCAGGACAGCCAAGGCTTCAGACCCTGTCTCAAAAACAAACAAACCACAAAAACAATAATAAACCCCAGATTGTTTTAGAAGAATGCTTTTGTTTGTTTGTGTTTTTCTGAGTCAGGGTTTCTTTGTGTAGCCCTTGCTGTCCTGGAACTCGCTCTGTAAACCAGCCAGGTTTCAGTGATTTGCCTGCCTCTGCCTCTTGAGTACTGGATTAAAGGTGTGTGCTACTATACCCAGCTTAGAAGAATAGTTTTTATACCTCTGGTGGGAAAGGCCTCTACAAAGACACAAAACCAGAAGTAATAAAGCAAAATGTAGCCAGAGCCACTTACTTGGAGATTACAAGTAGTCTCACATCTAAAACATTTTCTAAGCTAAGGGACAAGTGCCAACTGGAGGGATGCTTTTGCAATACACCTACCAAAGATTTTATATTCAGAGCACATGAAGAGGGTTTTTGTTTGTTTGGGTTGTTTGGTTTGGGTTTTTTGAGACAGGGTTTCTTTGTGTAGCCCTAGCAGTTCCAGAACTCTGTGTAGACCAAGCTGGCCTTGAATTCACAGAGATTCTCTCAAGTGCTGGGATCAAAGGTGTGCACCACCACAGCCCAGCTAACATGTGGAGTTATTATTATTATTATTGTTTTTTTTTTTTTTTTGAGACAGGGTTTCTCTGTGTAGCTTTGGCTGTCCTAGACTTACTTTGTAGGTCAGGATGGCTTCAAACTCACAGAGATCCACCTGCCTGTGCCTCCCAGAGTGTTGGGATCACTGTGCCTGGCTACATGCGGAGTCCTTAAATGTCAGGCACATGTGCTTGGCATGCATGAGGCCCTACGTTTGATCCTTATGGTACTCACAGAGGTAAAAGGTCAGCTTGGGAAAGGTGGACAAAGGCAGAATCTCAGGATCCAATACACACATGGAAAGAGAAATGTGTATCAAAAGAGCAGAGAGTTACACTGTCTTCCCTGGCCTCGAAGAACACCACACTGTCATGATTTCTGATTTTGCCTTTAGCAGCCCCTCATGAATGTATTGTTGGCAACTTC